ATCTGCCTGTGTTGTGAAGGCTGTCCTTTCCATTAAGTGGGACTCACGTTATCTCCTAATCAAATTAGTCACTTAATTGTGGCCCTCCCTTGATGGATCGCATGAAAAAGGGAACGGCATGTTTGCTGGAGGGGGGGTGATGTGCGTGAAGATGGAACTCGGCTGCTTCATTACGATATGAAATTTTTTAATAACCAACGCGTTCACTGTCATCGTCTGGCTTTGAACTTTGGCGCAGGGTGAAGTTGGATGTGACATTTTATGCGCTCTCACAGCTGAGTGTGGAGCTGCCGTGTTAGGCTAAGTGCCTAGCCCAAGGCTCGACCAAACTGCCCAACAGGGGATTGACCCTTGTCATCCGCTGATCACTGGCTTCCTTAATCACTTCCACATCGTCTGTGAGGCCTGATCTTCGGCCAGACGATCTGTCTCCCTTCATGTCATGATGGAGAGAGAAACTTAGGTCTGAAAACTCATCCTCTGGATTCTGGACCAGACCTGAGTGGAGACAGCGACCCACACTTTCCTCAAATCAACGTTTGTGCAGCAAAAATGTTTGTTTGTGCCGCTACCATTTTAAAAATGTTAATAAATGTTTCGAGAAGGTCATCAAAGGTCAATCAACCACCTCAAAATTTACAGAAACAAACAAAATTTGGTGCCAATCAACTCTGCTACTTTGGTGCAACATTTTTTTCTCTTTCTGCAGTTGGAAATTATAAGATTTTAAAAACAAAAAAAGTTTCCACAGGTCACCAGAGATCAGCTTGTCCTCCAGCTCCCCACCAGAACAAATTCAAACAAAAATATCAGCTGCACAAACCAGAAAAACATTTTAAAAAAAAACTAAAATAAAAATTTAGTTTGATTTTGTTCATGTTGGAGTGTGGAGCTGCCGTGTTAGGCTAAGTGCCTAGCCCAAGGCTCGACCAAACAGCCCAACAGGGGATTGACCCTTGTCATCCGCTGATCACTGGCTTCCTTAATCACTTCCACATCGTCTGTGAGGCCTGATCTTCGGCCAGACGATCTGTCTCCCTTCATGTCATGATGGAGAGAGAAACTTAGGTCTGAAAACTCATCCTCTGGATTCTGGACCAGACCTGAGTGGAGACAGCGACCCACACTTTCCTCAAATCAACGTTTGTGCAGCAAAAATGTTTGTTTGTGCCGCTACCATTTTAAAAATGTTAATAAATGTTTCGAGAAGGTCATCAAAGGTCAATCAACCACCTCAAAATTTACAGAAACAAACAAAATTTGGTGCCAATCAACTCTGCTACTTTGGTGCAACATTTTTTTCTCTTTCTGCAGTTGGAAATTATAAGATTTTAAAAAAAAAAAAGTTTCCACAGGTCACCAGAGATCAGCTTGTCCTCCAGCTCCCCACCAGAACAAATTCAAACAAAAATATCAGCTGCACAAACCAGAAAAACATTAAAAAAAAAAACTAAAATAAAAATTTAGTTTGATTTTGTTCATGTTGGAGTGAGGAGATGTTGACCTCTGGAAACTTTTCTGAAAAAATCTTAAAAATTATAGCTGCAGAAATGAAAACTTTTTTGCACAAATGTAACACAGCCGCTTCGCACCACACTTGGTTTGACTTTGTAAATGTTTGGGAGCTGATTGACCCTTGACCTCTTGAAACATTTATTATTGTCTTCAGAATGATTCTGCAAGCGAAAACCAGCTTCCCGCTTTTACAAAATGGCTCACATTTTGAGTCAATCAACTGTACGTATGTTGGTCAATGCTTTTTCATTATGGTTCTAAAGCAACTCAATGTAACGACGATGATGTCAAAAACAAAAAATTCTTCCATTTATTTTCACTTAAACAAAAAACACTTTCCTAATAACCAACTCACCACATATTTGTAAGGAATCTTCTAAACGAAGGTAAGAGAAGTTGTCCTGCTCCCAGAATGAGACGCCAGACAAAAACCACCATCTTGGGATTCGTTTCAACCAGCTGAGGTAAGTAGGTAGGCGGTAGGCCGCAGGGGCCGGCGTCCTCCAGGGCAGGGGTCCTGACGAATGGGTGGCTGCTTGGTCGTTTGTCCTGCTGATTGAGTTTTATCCCTTGCCCTTTCACTGCAGCCAGACAATAAACAGAACCACATCCAAGCGTGACAGGCTAACCTAACGGTAATAGAATACTCCTGATGGTGTGGCCCGAGCCGGAGTCCACGGTGTGCGGGGACGGCCCGAGTTCGATGGCGGTGGGAGTGCTGGGAGGGGGCGCGGTGGCGGCGGCGCCGGCTCACACTGTTGATGTCAGGCGGGAGCAAGGACAAAGAGGGCAACTTGATGGCTTAATGGGTGGTTTGATGGCTTCATAGGGTGAAATTGAACTTGTTGAGGGCAACCAAACAGATGAAACAGGCCAGACGGGGCATTATACAGAAAGAGAAATTAGCTGCATGCTCGGCGCACGGCTGGCCTGGATATTTGCGCTTTATTGGAATCCTTGAGCTGTTTGAAGCTGGCATTGTCTCACCGAGTCTCTCCTTCACGCAGAGAATGATTTATCTTGAATGCTGTGACACTGCGCTGCCTATACAGCAAAGAAAATAAACACAATCAAACTGAGCAAACTGTCAAAAGAGATTTAGATGATGTTGTTATGACGCTGACATGAACGTGGCTGTTTTCTGGCAGATAATCCTCACAAAGAGAATCCTCCGGGCTACATGCACCCGCGCAGGCAACACTCCTGCCTGTTTGTTTCTGCAGCACCTCTCCCTGCAGTTTGTCATGTCTGACTGGGGCTTTAATTAGGCCTGCGAATTGAAGCGGCAGCAGCAGGCCTGGGAGCCCTCTGTCCACGGCTCAGCCGTCCTCCACGGCGTCTCCTCGGAGGACCTCTCTGCTCTGTGTGGTTAAGATAATGGAGGCTCGCTCAGAAGATGTTAATTGAGGGGAGATAAAGTGCAGTAGTGGCTGCAGGGATGCAGCGTGTGGGGGTGGAGGGAGACGGGAGGGAGGGTTACCTGATTAGAGGCTTAGGTGTTTGACTTGCAGCTCTCTGTTTGATGACGATAGATTTTTTAAAGTACGGAGGATGGAGCGAACAGGAGCGTGCATCAAAAAAAGCAGAAATCTAAGACCGTTATTAAAGTTTCCCCCAAGGCGTTTGTGTTGGCTCATTTCTAGACCCAATAAGTTGATATACTTTCTCCTCTTAGCAGCTCACAGCGGAATTTAAAAAGTTGGATTTCATGTAGCCTTTTAAAGGGCATCCAAGCGTCTTTAAAAAGGCTTAAATTCATGTAGCTAAAATTAAGGCCATAACCCCCCATAATTCTGGTTTCAGGAAGAGCACAGCTGCAGAGATGGGGGTTTGCTGTCAGTCTGCCTTTTCATGAAAACACTGAAAAAACAACAAGCTCATGAAAGCACACGCAGGGTCAGTGCAACCCCACGGGGACCGCGCACACGGAAAAATGTTCACGCAGGATCCACTCTACCTTCTGTTGACTGTTAAAATGTATTGCCTTCATTTTTTTAAAGTAAGTTAACCTTTAATATGTTTAGCACACATCTTAATTTATGTCTTCACAGGATTATTTAATCTTATATGTTCAATGTATATGTTTCTTGCAGAACTTTTCTGTCAGGCCCGCCAAAAGTTTTGCGTCGCGACGGTCAATGCTACCAGTAACTCACTGTTAGGAAACCTTTTCTGGTTAGCTTGCTTTTTTGCATCTATCATGGGAAAGTGGAAATTCATTACCAGTTGGCCGGTCAAAGTTGGTACCTTTTAGTCCTTGAATTTCTTTCATAGACTTTTAAAGAAAAATATCTTTAAAAGTCTCAATTTCGAGTTCCTGCTGCTGATCTGCTGTTGCTCTCCCTGTGATAAATGGAGGCAAAATTGACTTTAGACTTAAGGGTCACGAAAACAGCTGAAGGGACAGAAGTTACTATATTGATGGCATTAAGTTTGGAGGAAAGAAAACTGAAGGAGAGGAAAAAGTCGACCCAGGAGAGGATAAATGGTTGAGGTTGTTGGTAATTGACTAACATACACAATTTTATCGCCTGTTGGTTGGACAAAATTTCTGACATGGCTCTTAAATTCCATCATAATGGTGTTAAAATGATGTTTGAGTCAGTGACATCTGCAGCAGCCCAGTTTTAGGGGCGAGAAAGGGACGCAGAGAAAGGGAAGCAAATTGACTTTGGATATAAGGGTGACAGAAACAGCTGAAGTGACAGAAGTTACATTATTAGTGGCATATGTCTGGAGTCCAGAAAAGCTAAAAACGAGAGGAAACAGTCGCTCCGTCCGTCAACCCAGGAGGAGAAGAACGGGTAAAAGGAGGCAAGGACAAGGAACAAACTATCCCAAAACAGCGCCAGCAGCCTCAATAATTGCCTGAATGCCAGTGGGATTGCTTTCATTCAATCAGAGCATTCTCTCTCGCTGTACGCTGAGGGTGGAGATGAAGTTTTGGGAGCTGGGAGGTTGGGCAGAACGGCGCGGCGTGGGCGTGCGGGAGATCCGGTAGTGCCCTTCCTCTCTCCCTCTCTGGGTAACGTACGGCTCTGAGGGCGATCGCGCCCCGGCAGCCTCCAATCTCTGGCATCAATGTGAGCAGCCGAGAGTGAGAAAAACTGTGTGTGTGTGTGAGAACAGAGTGAGGCGGCGATAAGGAGGTAGGTGGACCACAGATCCGACTTATAACAAGTGACTGTGAGTCCAAGTGCGTCCCCGCATATTTTTTTCTGTTTTGAATTCCCCAAAAAGCGTCTCACCTCCCTGGTTTTCCTCACCAGCTCCTACTGACACACACATTGCTCGAGGATTCCTTTATTTCTTTATTTGGGCTCCTGTTGGTGCACGCATTAGATGCTCAGCTCCCTCCTCCTCCCTGTTCTTCTTCTCCTCCTCCTCCTTGTCCTGCTCTTCTCTCCTCCTCCTCCTTTCCGCTCTCGCTTTGCTGCTCTCACAGCCTAGTTTTCTTTTTTTTCTCCCTCTTCAATCTTGTGCAGGTTGTATCTGACGGAGGAACCGGTGCCGCGCTCCCATCCTCGCGCTCCTCCAACAACAACAACACTGTGAGTATTCTCATGCTAATTCTTCTTCTCCAGCCTCCCCTTACATCCGTTTGTCTGTTTCTCCCCCTCGCTTTCTTTTTTTTTTCCTCCTGTTTCATTTTTTGCCTCTTTCATGTTCTCATCCGACGCGCCAAACGCAGCAACGGCAGCAGCAGCGGCGGCAGCAGCAGCGCGGGAAGGTAGAAGAAGTGTAGACAAAAAGAAACGAGAGAGAGCATGCACAGGAATGGAGAGACGAGGGGAGGGGAGGAATGGAGATGGTTGCTGCTGTCGCTGCGAGCAACCCGTTCTGCTTTCGGAGGTGTTTCTCCTGGAGGATGGTGGAATTGCTGAAGGGATGTAGGGGGCGGGTCTTGGTTTTGTGAGTAGATAGCTGTGCGAGAATGATAGGGGATGTTGTTGACAAGCGTGGAGAGGCTCGTCAGGCAGCCGGGCAGCGGGATTCAGCGGCTCCTCCACGTTGACTAAACTTCTGATTCTTTAATCCGCGCCTCGGATCCCGTCTCTCCTCGTTTCGCCGACTTTTCTGCGTTGATGACGAAACATAGATGGTTGCTTCAGTCACGTGTGCTTCTTTGAGCTCCCAGATGTAAACAGTAATGACTTCACTGTTTGTCTGTGTGTGTAAACATGAATCTATAGATATAGAGAAAGAGACTCAGTGTGGCTGTGTGAGGTCAGAAAGTCAGCGTCCATTCCTGCTTGCTCTCCTTTGATCAAAGAGCCTCATTTAGTCCGCCCACGGCAGCGTGCGAGCCATATGAGGAGTGGGTGTGCTTTATGTTTGGTGGAGGTGTGGGGGTGAGATGGATAGGCCCCGCTCCCTGCCTGCTACACCGTGGCTAATGGGCACTCGGGTCGGCAGGGGTGCAAGCACATCCGGTTGAGTCCCATCTCCGTGTCCTTCACAAAAAATAAATAAATACATTTTGGAAATCTTTGCAAGAAGAAGAAGAAGAAGCAACATATTGGGCCAACAAAACGCTCACAAACACACTTTGGCAGATTCATTTGGCAGAGTGAAAAGGATTGATCTGAGCATGGCAATTAGGCAAATTTCAGAACTAAGCATCTGGCGAGGCGAGAACGCTTCGCCTGGCAGAGGATTACCATTTTAGTTCCATTTTCAGCCCAGAATGTGTTATTTCACAGCACTCCAGCAGCATTGCAACAAAACCGCCACGTCTGGGAACCTTTCTCTGTCGCGTGTGTTCGTTTCCATGGCCTAATAAGTCCGAGTTGCGCTTTGATTAATGTCGATTAGGTTTAATATGTGCATCCTCCCTCATTCATGATGGCGAGTCATCAGAGTAAAAATGCCCGCTTGTCGATGAGCTTGCTTTGGAAAGCAGGCTGATATAAATGAGAACCATTCCCCCAATTAAGGAAGATTAGGTTACCCTCCACCAATCTGAATCCTTAAATCCCTCCTGTTTTTACAGCTCTGTCTGGCAAATGTAATTCAGCCTTGAGACCTGGGCAGAATAGCAATAAAAGAAGGTAGAAAGTTTAGCAGTGAAGCCCAGGCAGTAAAAATATCCACTGGGAGAGAGAGAGGGAGAGAAAGCACATGATAATTGACACTGCACTGTGTTGCAGTTGGCTGTAATTAACTATGTAACAGAGGTTGTCAGTTGGAAAGGGAGACTATCTTAGTGCATTTAACACACTTGAAAGTGCAACGTTTATCATGTCTCTCCAGCTTTCAGCGACGGTGCGTTTCAGGTTAGCGTGGGCCTCTCGGTTGTATTCCTCCAGATCTTTTTACTCCAGGGCCAGTCGGGCATTTTCCGCTGCCTCCCTTTATCCTTTCACACCACAGTTAGGAAAAAAAAAATATCAAAACCAGGAGCCATTGTTTCTGGGGCGAGCGGAAAAGGCTTATCATCTATTTTTAGTTTGCTTTTCCTCGTTGTTGCCTGGGCCACGATTCATGCTTATGTCTGGAGATTTGGTGCCATAAACTACGTTGCGCTTCGCAGCCAGGCGCTGGCTGGTGACAACTCTCACCCACACATTAGTGATCTATGAGCCGTGTAGCCGCAGACCCCCTGCTGCCTCGCCAGCCGCTTCCCGAAGCCGTGCAGGACCACAGCGGCGACGCGCTCCGTGTGTGATGGCACCCATATGTGCAGAGAGAGCACCTGCATTAAGAAAACGTGCCAACGCTTTTATTTCTCGTCACTTATCACAAGCCGCTACATGCTGCAGCGAGAAGGGGGGAGCAAAAAAGCTCATAAAGATAAAAATCACATTTCACTAGAGGGTGCTTGTGTGACAGTGATATATGCTGCGAGCATCCTGGCACCTCATTGAGAAGAGAGTGAGTTCTGGGTGGGTAAATCAATTTGTGCAGAGGCCGTCGCTGCTAGTATTGGTTTCGTGATATGATCTTTGTTGTCCATTTTTAGAGGTCAGAGCGAGCACGACGACAAGGGCAGCCGAACCCGAGCGCTTTCTCTCTCGTTTCTGTGCTGGTAAACGATCTCCTCGTGGAGGATTGTGGGTAAAGTAAGGCCATGTGTCTTTTTTGTTCTGTCTTAAGTTGAGACACTATGGATTCTCTATTAAGAAAGTACGTTCATCCATTACCACGCACGCCTTGATAAAGTGTCCAGAGCCAGAGGCGAGCGCAGCCTGCGCATTAATCGCTGTAATTACTCAAGGAGGCTGACACTGATTCTGGAGGTGTGTCTGACTACATATACCAGTAAAGGACTGGGGGCGGGTGCTGGTGGACCAGTCAATAGGTGAACCCGACTCTGTGGGCAAAGCAAACCGTCAAAGTTTCAGCCATTCATCCACAAAGGGCAGCGCTGGGTCCCAATCTGGGCCGCGTGATGGCTCTGTTTGGACGCGTTATTCACTAAAATACAAAGTTTTGTTTGAAAACGACTTTTTTATAGTTTGCTACATTTTTAATTTAAACCTCTGTGCATGCTTTTTCTTTTTGATTGATTTTTTTTAAGGATGTTAACTTACATTCAGCTTATTTGTGTGACACATTTCAGCAACAAAGCAGTTCACACCATAGAAACAATCACCAAACACAAAACAAGCGATGCACACTATAATTTGTCAAAAGCCGCCGTCAAAATCATCAGTTTTGATGTTCATTTTCCTTATTTGAAGTGTAAACCTTCAATAGTTTAGGCTTGGTCTTCTTCACATTAAGAAAAAAAGGGTTATTAGTTATGTTGAAGTTTAATCTGAAATAAAGGTTTTCAGTGCAAAAACACTGAAGACCAAGTATTTTTGGTATAGTTTGTTGTGCAAATATCTTAGTTCTCTTGAAATAAGACAAAAGTAACTTACTGATAACTTCAGCGACTTATAGGAGCTTATAGAGGTTTAATAATCCAATAATCTGGATTGCAATGCTGAAAAGTTATCTGTATGTTACTTTTGTCTAATTTCAAGTGTACTGAGACATTTGCACTAAAAATTAGATCAAAAATACTTGCACTGTAAAATTTCCCTGGGACTATTTTTAAATATGGTAAAATATCTTGGTGTTTAATATAAAGTGAAAATTTACTTTAGTTTGAACCTTTTTCAGTATCTGGATCTCACACTAGAAAAATACAAAAGAGTATTTTAATCTGGTTTCCATTGAAAATGTCTTTGTACAATTAAAATAGGACAAAGAAAACTTCAAAGTAACTTTTTAGCAAGATATAGGCTTTAGCTTTAAGTAAAGATGTACTTATTATGAAGGAAAAAGATTATTTCACATTTAACAAAACATTTTTCCCTAGTTGAAAATTTAATAATCTGCCTTTATAAATTGCTAAAAAGTTACTTGTAAGTTTTGTCTTATCGTAAGTTCACTTAAACTGGATAAAAATCGTTGGCAGGCTTTTGTTTTTGCAGATTTCTCAGTGTTTTCTATAAAGTGCAGATTGTTATCAGTGAAAATGTGAAGATCTCCGTTGGTTAGAACATGAAAGATTTCGTCTGGGTCTTTTCTGGACCTCGGTGAGTTTTTAAAGGAACGCGCCGGTGGTGCCGGACGCCGTCTTTGACTGACTTGTGATCAGCGGGAAGTGCTGTGCAGAATCACCACAGCAACGACTGCTTAGCAACAAAAATGTTGACATCATGAAAAAAAAAACAGAGGAAGAAACAAAGAAATGAAGAAGGAAGCGGCGATTGTTCAGCTTCCAGATCGGGCTGCTGGTTCCGCTCGCCGCCCGGTTGTCCTCCCGACACGCAGACGGAGAGATGAGGGGGTCAAATCCAGCGTGTCATGTCAGGGCTGTAAAAGCGGAGGACGGAGGGGGGGGGGGTGTATTGTCTGCACAAGGGCAGCAGAGTTACTCTTTGTGCTCTGCTTCTGGAATGTGTCTTCTAATACTGTCAGTGTTCCAGCTAATCAGAGCGGCATTGTTGGCCACAATAAGTGAATGGAGTTTAATAGGTGAATGTGTGCCACTTGGCGTCTTATCTCACAGTGACTTTCACTTGCACTGCCTGCAGCAAGTAATCATGAGAAATATGACTCAGAGACGGCGTTTTTTAATTAAGGACAGTTTTTAGCATGGTGGGAGAAGAAGAAGGCAGCTCTGCGCTCGCTCTGCGCTCGCTCTGCGCTCTGTCTGCGCGCGCTCGCACACGTGTGTGCAGCGGTTTTCTTTGGGTTCCTCATTAATCACAGGAGCATGTCTGATACGGGCGTGCGGCGGAGGAAACCAAGCTGGAACGGCGCGGTGGAATATTTGAACATCTCGGTGCTGATGTGTGCAAAGCGGAGTGTGTGTCTGCAGGGGAGGCTTTGAAATTTCATCCTCTCCATCCCTTTTAACTTGGCGGAGGGGATGTGTGTGTCTCGCTCCAGTTGGCCGATGGCTGTTAGGAAGCTCCACGACCGCCACCCCTCTAACCATTCACACACACACACACACACACACACACACACACACACACACACACACACACACACACACACACACACACACACACACACACACACACACACACGCAGAGAGGTTGGTATCTGT